CACACCCACACACACACACACACACACACACACACACACACACACACACACACACACACACACACACACGCACACACACACACACAGCAGCAGCAGCACCAGTCCATCCGTGCAACTTAAAGGGAGTTTAATAAACGTTTCAGCCTACTGTAATCACAGGGGGACGTTTTGGAAAGAGTAGGCTAATCTCTTCCTTCCCTCAATCCCCCCTCACTCACTCTCTCTCACTCTCTCTCTCTCTCTCTCTCACACACACACACACATTTGCAGACCAGCAAAGGGGGCACGTTTATGCACACCAAGAATTAGCATGCATCGGACACAACTCCCCATCCTCTCAGCCTTATGTCCAAGCGCAGTGTTATTTTTCTACATAGGTATAATAAAGAAACGTAAAAATACATTAAAACACAGCATCCGTCGGCGTAAAGCTCCGACGTTTCTCCGCCGATCAAGTTACTTTCTGAGAATACCTGTAATTGCCCAGAAGTGTGAACCGCTCTTCACTGAATTAACACAACGCCTGCCTTCATTTCGCAAATACAATCGAATGATGTATCACTTGGGTTTAAATCCTTCATCGGTGTATTAGAATTACACTAAAAGATGATTTGTAACCAATAGACGCAGCACATATACATAAAAGACAATGCAATAAAACTGTTAAGTGCATCTTCAATCCCCGTGTAGTGTAAGACAGGCAGAACTCTTGCACGAATCGGACATTTAAGGTTTCGACTTACCTTTAAGGGCAGGAAAGTATCCATTATGTGCCGCCGCGAGCTTTAAACAGTACACTCTTTTTTTCCTGCTTCGAGTCTAAAGCCGCTCCCTTCCCATTCATGCACTAATTCCAGAAGAGGAACTGCAAAAGCAACTGCCCGACCAGCCGCATATCGCTTCTTCTCTCGCTCCTGACAATTTTCCCCCCCACCAGCAGATGCTCTGGAAAAACCTGCGCTTTTGCCGGGAGCCAAGCTGCGACACAGAGCTTCACAGCATTTTTTGTAGTTTTCCCCTTTAAGTAAAAATAACTAGCTCGCTGCTGTGTGGGCTCGTCTGCATATTTCCATGTGAGAGTGCAGCTACATGGCACAGGCGTTTGTCTATTTCCCCCCCCGCGGTGCAGTAATTACTAGTGTCCACGTCCTTGGAATCGGTTGCTTCTCAATTGCTCCTAAACACTTATCCAAGCAGAAAGAATGTCTCCTTTTAAAACGAAGTAAAGGCCGTAGGTCCAGAAGAAAACTTTCTTGTTTGTTTTCAGTGATTCGGAAGTTATTAGTTAGTCCAAGAGTGAGCAGATGGCGAGACGCGAAATCTGCGCCAGAAAGACTGCAATGGAGCGGCGGATAACCCTAGATGGCACAAACACCATGAAGTATCACGGAGCCCAATGGACAGGCGGTGGGTGGGGGAGAGGGGGGCAGAGACAGGCAGGTCACCCAGACGTGCAGTGCATGTATGCAAACACCCACTGTAGCGAGTTTGTAGCGATAATTGCGCGTAAATAGCCACTTTGGCACGGTGCACAGCGAGCACCGTTCTGTCTGCAGAGGATTAACGATCACGGATTAGCGTGTGCTTAGGGCTCACTGCAACAAAGTAGCCTATCAGGGCTGTGGGCGAGCCTGGTTCTGTAGCATGTTGCAATCTGTATGAGTATGTGGGCTTTTTTCCTGTGCATTACCCTACCTGCAGAAGCTCTTAAATGCTTGCAGGTTGCATTCTCTTTGACCTTCAAAGACCAGCAGAACTCTTTAAACAATTAACAGATATTACACAAAAAGTGAAGAAGGGAATGAACTGGTAGATTTACTGTGGTCACAGAAAATACATGAATTAATATTTAGAATAATCAGTGCTTCCCCATTAAACTGTGGAACTGTTCTCTCAGCCCTTTTTATTCTTAAGTTTCTCATGTTGCTTTTTCCTGATGTCCTTTTTGGTATGGCTTCATCTATCACTATGGCCATCTTCCTCTGCTTGTCTACCAATAGCATCTCTGGTTAGTTAACTCAGGCCAGAAAAGATCATAGCAATCTTCTATTGTCCAATTTTTGTGAGACTGCATACATTTTAGCCTTGTGTCCCTGTTCTTATGTGACAGTGGCACTTCTACTGCTGCAGCCCATCTGTTTCAAGGTTCTATGTGTTCTGTGTTCAGGAAAGCTCTTCTGCTTTTTTTTTTTTAGCAGTAAGTGCTTGTTTGAGTTACTGTTGCAGTCTTAGTCACCTAAAACACCTTTCTTCCTTATTCTGATGCTCCGTTTGAACTAATTCTATGTGTGCAGATCCACCAAGTTGCTCCCACGTAATTGGATAATATGATATTTGTGTTAATGAACAGTTGAGTAAAGATCAAAACAATAAGCTCATTAGCTTTTAGGACTGTAAGGTGCGTAAGGTGTGCCTTCCCCGGCTGGTTCCTCTGGTTACAAAAGACTTAGATAAGAGACAGTCAGATTAATGCGTGTGTCAGAATATTTTAGTTTGGAATAATCTATTTTCCTTTTATTGTGAAAATACTGAAATGAAATACAGCAGTGAAGAGGTGACATATTATTCATCATACTTCTGCTTTTTTCTCAATCTATTCATGGATCAAGAAATGCTCAGTATTTAATTCTATATGCATCTGACTCTGAAAACATCTGACCTGTTAGAACATACATCAATTAACTATTTGAATTTAAAAAGAGTTATTTTTCATAATATCCATAAAAGTAATTAAGTATGAGAGTGATTAAACAACATAAAATATGTTTTGAGCTGTTAAAGAGCCGCAGGACTCCAATCACAACGTTAGGATTAAAGGGATTTATTATTTTAGCACCTAAACTATATTCTGATGGCTAATGTGGAAAATGATTTGGGTCCAGCACATGGGGAAAATTGCTGCATTGGAGCTTAGTGACAGGAGCATTTGGTTTTTATTCCAGGTGTAGTATTGCACACTTTATAAATCAGTTGTTCTTCATAAGCCTCAAAATAGCTCACAGTGTGCAAGTGCATATTTCTTTGCATATATTCACTACATCAATAGGACATTTTTTCACGTTAACTCAGTTCAATTCAATTCAGTGTTATTTATATAGTTACAAATCACAAAAGCATTCACTTCAAGGTGCTTTATATTCTAAGGTAAAGACTCTACAATAATACAGAGAAACCTCAACAATCAAACCCCTATGAGCAAGCACTTTGGTGACAGTGGGAAGTGAAAGCCCCCAGCAGCCTAAGTCTATTGCAACATAACTAAGGGTGGACCCAGGCTCACCTGATCTAACCGTAACTATAAGCTTTGTCAAAAAGGAAAGTCTTAAGTCTAAGCTTAAAAGTAGCTAAGCTTAGACTCCCAAATCCAAGCTGGGAGATGGTTCCACAGAAGAAGGGCATAAAAGCTGAACACGCTGCCTCCCATAGTACTTTTAAATATCTTAGGAAACACAAGTATGCTGACAGTGTGAGAGCAAAGTGCTCTATTGAGATGATATGGTACTATGAGGCCTGATTATTCAGGACCTTCCATGTGAGGAAAAGGATTTTAAATTAAATTCTGCATTTAACTTGCGCCCAGTGAAAAGAAACCAATGTAGGTTTTTATGACAATTTAATAATAACTTAAGACGTTTGGATCTTTTACTTCAGTGTAAGCGTGTAAAACATATAACTCACATGCCATACAGTCAAAGTTAGTCCAAAAGTGATCTTATGCTATTCTAACTAAAATTTAATAAATAATCCCAAATGATTTATGTCTTTATTTTGATAACAATAACAGTAATGTTTTTTTTTTAACAGTGAGCAACAAAATATGCAAAACCTGAAAAAATCTTGCTGAAATCATTTTTATGTTTTCTCAGGGATGTTTCCCACTTTTAGACTAGTTGTACTTCTTTACAGTTAAAGCATTAGGATAAAAAAATAATTAAATTATTATTGTTGTGCAGTACACTGGTCCGGCCCACTTGAGATCCAGTTGGGCTGTATGTAACCCATAATCTAAAAATTGTTACACCACTGATTCTGTTCATTGTACAAAGACTTCTATAGCTGGCAGTGACAGCATATTTTTATATTAATCACCAACACACATTAATTACATATATAGTGAATCAATGTCTTTTAAGAAATAGTGTTCAAATGAAACTATTATGACAAGACTTGCAGCATTATGTTGAACACAAACATATTTATCTGTCTTGACATGAAATTGATGTTTTTTTTTTTACCAAACTATTTTCTAGTATAAACATTTGATATACACTCATGAGTGCTAACTCAAGCATTCAGTTAAAGAGATGATGGTCATGTGACAGTTAATTTGTGTTAGGTGCATGCAAAGCTTTCATGTTACTTCATAGCACTAAAGTTTTGTTTAAAACATTTTTCCTTTATAGTGAGTCTAATAGGTTAATTACTATTTTTGTATCCACCTAGGGAATGTCTGGAGGAGGAGGCACACAAATATGTTCACTAATCGATTAAATCCACAAAAGATCAATAGTTCAAGCTCTTTCAGAGTAAAACAAACATTATATTATTACCTATTACATCCGGACTACATTTTAAAAACATGAAAGTAAATCCTGTTTTTCATAACCAGGTATTTGCTGCCGCGCTAGCAAACTGAAGCGAAACCATATTCAGCCAGACACACTTAAAGTTAATGAAACAATATCCTTTGAAATAGTGCTTTCAGGGCTTTTGATGAGTCTATTTCCAGACAGTGTAATTAAGCTTGATCTTTTAGTACCATTGATTTATTTCTTGATGCTTAAAGGAGGTCAGAAAAACAAGTGGTGCCATGAATGGAAGGTTGTCAAACAGGGTAAGGCAGTTTGTTTGCTAAATAATTCATGGTCAAGGTGCCAAAGCTTTGCAACATGAGCATCATGCAATACAATTCTCAACATTTCTATCTTGACATAATCATCAGAACAAAATGATTGCATATAAACACCATTTCCTGGACTGGATATGGTCTTTTTCTACACAAATCAGATTTGTTCTGATCTTCAGAACCAGCAACTTTTTTATGTGTTGTTAACTCCAGCTAGTTATCTACAAGTTAGCAGGATTTATTTGTCCGCCTGTGTTCCTGAGCAGAAAAGATTCTCTGGCAGCTGTCTCGTAGCTGCTAGTCTTTGTAGGTGGAAGTCTCCTCCTCCCCCCTCTCATCCTTTTCTCTTGCCTTCTCTCTGTTTTTTATCGATGCAGACGGTGGGGGACATAGCTGCTGTGCCTCTCATGCCCACTGCGCTATTGATCTGTGTTTATAGCCCTCTTTTGAGATCCACTTAAAGCAACATTCTGATGGCAAAAATATCCAGTTATACCAATTAGTTAAAATACTCATAAAATGATTCTTTTTAAAAGACAGAGATGTGACTGTATGTCGTCTGGAACTGTGTAGATATAATTTAAACAGTGACTTCTTCACTTATTGTAATTTCTTATTGCAGGAACACAGCGTACAAATAATTTAAGTCAATAGAACACACGCAGTATTTCAAACCATGGTTCTCATTTCACGATATTTTATGGCACCAGTGAAAAGGCTAATAAACTACACTGTCTCTTATTTCATCCTGACACATATTTGTAGCAGTACTTGTTGTGACTCTTGTGTGTAGACTCTGAGCCACCCCGAAGTCATTATAATGATTCCAAACAAGGCTTTTAGCTGCAGTTAAATTACAGTAAAGGAGCTGTAGGTGTCCCTGTGTAAATGGAACTGGAGACAAAGGGTGCCTCATTTAGTTAATGCACATTTCATGACCAAACTGTCAAAATATAATTTGCACAGACAGATAGTTGATGGAAATAAACAGAAACGTGTTGTGGAGAAAAATGTTAAAGGACACAAAGACAAGATATAACAAAACCAGACACGATCGCTTGTTTCGCATGTGCTCAACAGCAAACATGTCAAATCCATGGCAACAAAGGCAAGAAAATAAAAAGAACATGTAATGAGTTCGACAAATTCAGCCAAGACAGTGTGGTTATGGTTTTCAGGAGGATGATAGAAAACAGAGGCAGGACTGAGAGGTCTGGCAGCACTGATGGAAGTAGTTCAGACAGACTGACGCACTTTGATATACTCTTTAAAGCACTGATTCACCTTGAGGTTTGGCCTTGCTGCAGTTAGCCTCCATTGCCACTTTAAAGATTTGAAGTTAAGGTTTGTATTTT